ATCGGCTGTCTCTGTGAGTCATTGTATAGGATACACCATTCCAATAGGTTCTGACTAAAAGTGCTATGCGTGGCGCATCCTAGAGGGATGGATCAACTGCGAAGGTTCTGCACCTTATCCTCCAGAACTGTTTGACAAACTAGGTAATGCACGAGCATAGATACCAGGTGAATACAGCTACCTTCACGAATTGCATGTGGAAATGGAGAATTGAGAAGGCGCGATACAAAACAGATACGAATCGATTTTTTGGCATTGGCCGGGAATTTCGACTTGTCAGCTTATCTTCCACTATGGCCTAAGCTATCAGGTGTTTTCAGTCAACGCTTGAATTTGGCACAAAAAAAATCTACTTCCATCTCTATATTATTAAAGGGAAGCGATTGCATTACAACTTTCTCAAAGTGAATCAACAAACTCACAAAAACACGATCTTTACATATTCCTTCCGTGGTACACATCTGTAGGAGGCATTCTATCCGATACCTGAAAGAGAATAATAATCAGTATTGCTCCTTGTTGTAACCTCGGCATGATGTCGACTAGGAAGAACGGACGGATGCTGCGTGTCAGTAGAAGTAGTAAGGATAAAAGAACTGGTATTTCGTTCTTACTAGTTCTACGACACACAGCGCAAGCTAAGCTCCGCACTGAGAGCCCTTCGGCCTCTGAAAAAGACGAGAAGGTCGAAACGTCAGGCCAATAAAAGATTGCATGTAACCTCCTACAGAAGTAGTTGAACTTAATAATCAGCGTTTTTATTCTTCAATAACTAATGTATGTTATGAAGGACTAACTGTGTGTGCGGAGCTATCTTTAGGGTGCGTATCATTTCTTCACACGGACGCCCCCTCCCCCCCCCCTCCCCCCCAGATCCAGAAGAGGATTTCCACATAACTCCTCCTACCGGCCGTCCAGGCACTTTTCCCATTCCTGTTGATGCGTTTCTTCACACGTACTTTTATTTGTTGTTAAAACGGGCGGGGATATTCTGAAAGGTGCTCCTCTCTTACTGATGAGCATCGAATTCTAACTGTAAGATGGCGAAACGAAGCACCAGTCACGAAGGCAAGGCGCAGTGAGGCTCCGTGACCACGCCTCTATGATCTACGTGGACCGTGCACTCAAACAATTATACGCATGAATGAACTTTTTTCACGTACTTCTCATCGTTCATAAACTTGAAGACACGAGCGCGAGCGAACACTTTCGGCATGAAACTATTGTAAACCACTTCACCGATGAGCTCAGAGTCCACAATACACCTAAACTGAGTTTTCATGTTCCAAAAGTAGATAGCACTATCATTATAAAGTGAAATAATACAGATAAAAGTTGAAATCATTATAAACCAGAATACTACAGATAAAAGTTGAACTAAAGACGCTATATGTGATCTGTAGGCAAAATATTCGGCACCGAGGCGATCCTACAATGATGTGCATTCCGGGCCCTGTTCCAATTCTTTGAAAAGTCGTGACCACATGACCACAGGTAGTTCCTCTCAACTTACAGTGGTACATTTTTCCATGGATATCGCTTACCGCCTGTACCGCGATTATACGTTGATCAGATAACTGTTTACGGCAGTTACTCCTTATAGCAATAGATTGTAGGGAATAGGTGCGATATTTAGAACAAAACGAAGAAATGAACATGTCAAAATTCGTGAAAATTCCTTATTTGAGGCAGTTGCTCACCCATTTTCGTCCACTAGGTGTATAATCTGCCCAGAGCTGGAAATAGCATTGCAGCTGGTCAAGAACGTTTGGTACTTTTGACCCTCTGAAATCAGCACCGCGTTATGAAAAGTTACAATACTGAGCTGCAAACCGTTTATCCCAAGTCGCTAAAAAGTTGAGCATTTCTTTACTCATACTCAACACTAATGTCTGGGATTTGCGCGGTGCGACCACGTTTTCAACAGATTATTGTTGCTTTCCCTAACTCAACAACTGGGGAGAGCGGGTTGACGTAACCAAACCCACCCCCCCCCCGGCAAACGATCGAAACTATATTTCGCCGCCGTGACTTGGGACTAAAGGCTTGTACCCTTTCATGTTGAAAAGAAAAGCATTTATGAAAAGTAACCTTTGACTGGAAAATTGCAGTTCCATTCATGGACGACGGCGTCTCCCACATGAAATACGGTACTGCTCTCCCATCGTGATGCCAGTCGTATTGTATGCGAGCAATACCTGAGAGCTTCCTATTGTACAGCGTTGGTTGAGGAGCATTGTTGTCGAAAACATTCTTCTCTGATGAGCTGCAGGCTACGCTGACCACATCTGTGGAGACATGTGTAC